AAATTAAAAGGCATTTGAATTTCAATTAAATATAATTAATTATAAAAAGTTTAATTAATATGATTAATTTAAAATATAATTAATTATCTTATGTAGTATATAATTGATTTATAAAATTAATTAATAAAATTAATTTTAATTAAAATTGAAAGGAAGAATTGAAAATAGGGTAAAATTATAATTTTATAAAAATATATCCAAACACTCATTTTATATGTTAAAATCAATTATAAATTTAAAATCATATTTAAAAAAAATTCAAATACTCATTATGCATGCCAAAATTAATTATGAATTTAAAATTGTAGTTTTCTTAACAATATTCAAACACTTCCATACATATCAAAATTAATTATCAACCCAAAATCATGATTATTTTATTAGCTATTAATACCTACTTTTCAATTCAAATTTTCAATTATACATTTTTAAAAATTTATCTAAAAAAGTTTATAAATTATTTTACAAATTATATTTTTTTTATTCATAATTGATTTTGACATGATAAGAAGTGTTTGGATATTTTTAAGAAAATAAAAAATATAATTTTTTAATCCCTGCACATTTTTACGTTTTGCCAGGGTTCTTATATTTTTTTTCAATGTTTTAGGTCGTTACACTTTTATTTTTTTTTATTATTTTAAATTCTTTCATGAACAAAGTGTAGGAACTTTAGGAAGATTTAAAACAATAAAAACAAAAGCATAGGAATTTAAAACACTGAAAAAAGTGCAAGAATCAAAAAGCAAAATGCAAGTAAAGTACATGAATCCGAAGTTATGTTTTTTCTTAAGAAAACTATGATTTTAGATTCATAATTAATTTTAACATGTATAATGAGTGTTTGAATATTTTTCATAAAAATATGATTTTAAATTTATAATTAATTTTAACATGTAATATGAGTGTTTAGATATATTTTCATAGAATTATCATTTTGATCTCTAAAATTGATTTTAGATGTTATGGAAACAGGTACTTCCTATAAAACAAATAATACAAACATTATTATTAGATCGTTCTAGGAAGGGAAGACAGCCCAAGGTCCACTATAAAATATAAAATCAATCGCAAGCATTATGGAACTAACTTAGATTGCCTTCTGACGCCAAAATTCATCAAGCCTTCCACGTATACTTCCTTAAGAAATACGAACTCCAACTGCACCATACTTGACTCTTCCATTGCTTACAATTGAATTTGGACCACCAAGGCATTGAAAAATGGATCAGTTGTGATACTAGTTTAATGATTAATAATTAAAATTATAATTGAATTATAATCAAATCAGTCATAAATAAAAAATTTTATTAAATTAATCGAGATATTAGTTTAATAATTTCAATTGGTTGAGTTGACCCAAATTTTTATATTACATGTTGCCATCTTGGATGTTTGCCAACCATAGCTTAGGATAAAATCAGCTTATACGAATTAGGTTGGACTTATTCAGAAAGAGTTTAATTTGCGTTGGTTTTATTCAAGTTGGACTTAAAATATTTGAACATATAAAAAATATCATATAACCAAAGCTGGCAATAACACCTTAGCCTTTTTTGGACTAGCTTGAATATTCGAATTGTTAAATATTATTTTATTATTATTTAATTGATTTCAATTTTTATCTTAAAAAATTAAGATTTTTGATTTTTATCTTATTGTAATTTTATTTTATTAATATCCTGAATTCTTAAATATTATTTTATATTTTATTAGCTAATTTCAATTTTTATTTAAAAAATAAAATTTTTATTTTTATCTTATTGTATTTTTATTGTATTAATAATAAAAATAATTTGGGTATTCATGCTAAGTTCATTCATGTTCAAGCTTGGTTTGGATTTCTTTGAACGACTCAAATAAGGTTGAAGTAAAGAAAATATTTTAAACTCTTAAATTTGGTCCTAAGATTTTTCATGCTTATTAGGGTAAGCCCAAATTTCCTCCTCTAGCTTAGACATATATGTAACAAAATTAAAAATAGGAATAATTTAATATTAAAAGTATAAAAAATGATATATTAAGATCAGAGAGATATTATTATGACATATAATTAAGAAAGTATTTGTAATTATATTATAAATATTATATTATAATTATAATATTATGATTAACTCCTTGAGTGTTCTTGATTGGATTCTTGTTAGAGCAAATATACAGGCCCAACCCAGTAAGGCTACAACACGGCCCATAAGTCTGATACTATTGTTGTCTATGGGTTTAATTAGATTTTCATGCGTTTTCTAGATTGATTTCGTATTGATTTATGAGATGGAGCAAATTCTAATTGAAACCAACCTAGGACGGTGGTTCAAGATAGGAGAAGTCCACTGATGAGATATGGTGTTAATTATATTTAATATTTTTATTTTATTAGAATGATCTGATTTGAATAAATATAATATATTATATTACTGGGTTATGTTTTAGAGAATATTTGGATTGATGGATTTACATTCAGATTTTAAATTTGAAACTCATAGGTCAAATATAAAATATTTGTTCAGGTGGTTTACAAAATTTCAAATAAAATAGGAGAGATGAGTTGAGATTAAAAAAAATTGAAAACTAGAAAAGATGAGTTTATTTTTATTTTTTTAATTTACTAGAGATGGTAAAAGGTACGGGAGTCATAAAAAATGTGAAAATGTGAAGAAAATGAAATGTTTGAATGGTTAGAATTTCAAATTTTTATGGTGTAAAAGAAATTTAAAATTATAAATATTATACTTTAAAATGAATTTAAATTTGAGTCAAATCTAAATTCAATTTTTGTGTATCTAAATAAAAAATTTGTTCCAAATTCAAATTAAAGTATTTTAGAATAAAAATTGATTGATACTTACTTTAACTTGAGTTTCTATCTTCTCTCTAATCCTTTTCCCTTCCCGCTCTGCATCATCCACCCATGAAAAAGGACGTAGCTTACTGAAACGCAGATTCAAGTATAATAAATAGCTCAATATTTTATATTTTATATTATGATCAGTTTATTATATTTGTCAATAATATATTGTTGTATATAAATGATAAACCTCTCATAAATTTTTAAGTTTTCAATAATAAATCATGCATATATTAATGATAAACCCTTATACATTAATGTAAATCAGCTATCCTCCCATGTCAAATTATTTTTTGGCACAATATTTCTTTTGGCCAGTGGACCAACATAGTTATTATTACATCACCTGTCCCACCACTAGTCTAACCAGTGAGACCATAAAAGAATGTACTAAAAATAGAACATAAATTGCAAACCTTAAAGCTCGAACAGGAATCCTCCTCTAATAGGATACTTGTCATGAATTCTTCTGAATCCAGTTAGAAAATTTAGCAAAGCAGTCAGCTAGGGTTTCTATGGGAAGCCTTTCGTTTTTTGGGGCTCCAAACCATGCGTTGAGCGAGAACCCACGATGCACAATAACGCGATCTTGTTGCCCACATAGTGAAAAGCCTTGACCCGAATAGTTAAATTGAAGTCCAAATAAACCCCTTGCCAGTAAAGAGGAACCAACAAAAAACCAGAGTAGGCTCCCATAACCAAATGGATTAATTTTCTTGCAGATCGGAACAAGTTTGCCCAATTGCTCCTGTAGAAAAGAAGTATGATTAGAGTCAGCACTTACATGCACTGACACAGAATCTGCATTCGGTGGCACCGAAATCTCTTCTTCGTTTCTGATCTAAGCAGAAGTTCCAGTTGCTCCATGCACCTTGTCTGATAGGTTGTCGGGGATGGGTTCCGGGTCGACTAGCCCGATGGCGAGTTCGATGCAATTATTCAGAATGATGGCAGTGTTTTTGGCACTATTGTTAATGATTTCTAAGTAGGAATGCCCTTGGTCCTTGAGTATCTCGACCTGAATTGTGTAGTCATCAATTAATGCACAGTTAATTTCATGTCTATGGCATGGATAGAATAATAGAAAGGGGGGAGGACAGAACAAAAATAACCAACTTTTAGGAATGGGGAGCAAACAGTCTGAAACTAAGGGGGAGGACAAATGAAGAAAAGTAGTGGAAGCACACTATATCTTAAGACTTAAGTTTATGGGCCCTTCTTTATCATACATCAATTATTAAACTCAACTTTATTTCATGTGAGATTTCTCACATTGATTCAAGTCTAATACCCAACCAAATGCTCATTTGTCACGACCAACACAACAATGGTATATTAGTTGTCAGCGGTGGTTGATTAATCTCACACTTAAAATCAAGGCTTGGTTTTGATGGAAGGAAAATGGGAAGAAAATAAAAAAGGGGGAAACTAGGAGGAGGAATTTCAGAAAAAAGATATTTTTTTTTTAATCATCTTTAGCAGTTTTCTCCCCTAGTTCTCATTCCTCCTCAGTTTTTACCGGAAGTTAAAGGGAGGCCCATCATGCTCATCCCACGTCCCAATAGATAGATTAGTAGATAGAATGCCAGACATCCAAATAGATAAAATGGTAAAGAGCCACTACCTGTGCCCTCATAAATGCCACAGAGACACCAACAGTATACGGACAGAGTGAGCCAAGATCAAGTTGATCAGCACCGAATATGGACACCTCACGAATTTCACCCATAAGGTGAGGAAATTGACCCTTATGATACGCATCCCAGAAGACCAGGAAGTCATTGAATGAGTCACTGTGAGCTTTCTCAAATTCCTTTTTTTCATCTCCAGTGAAAATGTTGTAAACAGCCGAAAGCTCCTGTCCATGAAAAGAAACAAGAAATGTTATGGCACTTCCGAGAAAGACCCCATAGCATTTAACTTTGAAAGATAAGCATGAGAATACAACCTTAGTTGAGATTATTCTTGATGCAGTTCCGGTAATGCACATAGCAATGATCTTGCGAGCATGATTTTTATTCACTCCATTCTCAGTGCATCTCCTAAAGAAGTGCTCCTTAACCATACGAACAGTAATCAAAAAAATTCCTGAGGAAAAAAAATATAGTTAGGTTTTGTGTTTTTGGGGACAACACAATGCAAAAAATAGTCTTGCCTCGCTCTGGATTAGGATAGGAGGCTTTAGCTCTGCCATCAACGCGCTGCATTTCAAGATAGTTAACACTTGCAACAAAAGGCAAGTAACAATATAACTATGGGAGTGGACCCACAAGGAGGGAAGAATTAGAGAAAGAGAGATCACCTGGTAGACTGCATAGCCTGAATTAGTTCCAGCGCCATTTATCTCTTTTCCTTGGGCATCAAGTCTCTCACCATATGGATCCATTTTCCATGGACTGACAGCTTCTACATTCCGATTAGGCATAAAATCAAGTGGCGTTGACAGTGGGGAGCCAATACTGTGTCCAGAAAACAGCCTAGGTACTTCTTTAGCTGCCTGCACCGGGACTGACAAGTTTATGATTGGTTCCGGGTCGACTTCCTCCAAGGCGTGTTGTGTGCGGATGTTATCCAGTACAGGAGGACACAAGTGAAGCCTTAGAACGTCTACAGCTATAGCTTCACTATGATGAATGACATCTAAGTAGGAATGCCCTTTTTCCCCGAGTATCTTGACCTGAATTATGTAGCCATCAATTAATGCACAGTTAATTTCATATTGTACAGCATAGAGAGAAGGGGAGAGAACAGAATTCTAAAGACAAAAATACAAGTGCCCCTTTGTCATGACCAAACACAAAGGGTGCATTAGTTGTCAGCAGTGGCTGATCAATCCGACACTTGAAATTAAAGTCTACCGAAAGTTAAAGGGAGGCCCATTATGCTCATCCCAAGTCCCGATAGATTAGCAAGATACAATGCCGACACCCAAATAGATATGGTTAAGTGCCAATACCTGTGCCGCCATCAATGCCACACAGACACCAGCAGTATATGGACTGAGTGGGCCAAGATCACCTGCTGTAATTCGTGCAGCTCCAACGACCTTACTCAAGAAGGTCTGATAATCAATTTTATTCTCTACGTAATGAAGTACATACTCATAGTACTTATCCCCGATGACCAGGAAGTGACTGTGAGTGGCACTGTAAGCTTTCTCAAATTCCCTTTTTTGATCTTCAGTGAAAATGTGGTAAGGATCCGAAAACCCCTGTCCACAAGAAGAAAGAAGAAATGTTACGGCACTATCGAGAAAGACCCCTGCAAATGAACATGCGCATAGAAGAATCATAAGAACCCCACAGCATTTAACTTTGAAAGATAAGCATGAGAATACAACCTTAGCTGATTTGGCTTTTGGTACAATTGTTGTAAAGCACTCAACAATGTTCTTGTAAGCAAGATCTCCCCTTATCCCACGCTCAGTGTGCCACGACAATAGTATCTTCATCCAATTAACAACATCCCTTAAAATTTCTTAGGAAAAAAAATAGTTAGGATTTCCGTATTTGGGGACAACACAATGCAAAAAAAAAAAAAATGCTGTTACCTTCCGCTGGACAGGGGGGTAATCGGAAGGGATTGGAGGCTGTAGCTCTGCCATCATCGCACTGCATTTCAAGATAGTTTACACTCGCAACAAAAAGCAAGTAACAATATAACTATGGGAGTCATTCACAACAAAAAGGCTTAGAGATGTGCTGGTTCAATGGTTTCAGAAGCGTAGAGATTTATTGTGACTGTACAGAAGCCATTAACCTACTTACCAGACCTCGAAACTGGAATCACCCTTTTGAAGATATCATTCAGACAACTGTGAACTTCTTGTGTAGGGATTGGACTATTTCGTTAAATTTCATGTGCAGGGACTCTAATACTTTTGCTGATAGATTAGCTAGGTTCGGCCATACTTTAGTGAATGATTTTTGCATCTTTGATCATATTCCATCTTTCCTTGTAGATGGAGTACGATGAAAGAAGTGTTTTGTCTCCATGGTTTTCTGTTGTCTATTTGTTTCTTCATTAGGTTATTGTATCTGTTAGCTCCTTTATTAAAATGAAGCTTCAGTTTTTACTTAAAAAAAAAAATAGAGAAAGATCACCTGGTGGACTGCAAAAGCTGAAGTAATTTGCTTTGATCCCAAGAAAGTATCTGGGTTCAAAAGGGAGTCGCAATCTCCTTCGACGCTGTCCTGTAATGATAATACAAAGCATCCAAAAAATCAGCCAATTTTCACCAAATGCTTCACAAATCAGACACGTAAACAGGTTCCAATTTAGCTCGGAGAGAAAACTGAACAAAAGAGATTTTGAAGAAACTAGAGACAATGAAAGCTTGAACGACCAAACAAATCCGAGTCGTTGGAAGAAATTTCGGAAGACTAACTGCTTATCATGATTCTGAGGCCAGAGACGAGTGCTGAAAAGGATTCCGGAAGGAGAATTCAATTTGGTTCGAGAATCCATTTTGGCTTCCCGAATCGCGCAGGCTGGGCGGAAGAACATTCAACTGTGTTCGAGTACGAGCAATACTTGAAGCTTGAAAGAGAGACTCTGACCGCCCAAGAAAATGAATGCTGCGGACATTTAGGTATTTACAAACAAGTTTCTTTGACTTATTTTCAAATAAGTCCGACATATTTATAAAATTTCCCTTAAATCCTTAGAAATTTAGTTATGATTAGTTTTTCTTGTAAAATAACAAATGTTTTCGGACTGACACCCGTTTGACTGATGCTGGCCAACTACTTGTAGTCATCAATCTGTTGACCAGTCCAAAAATAAGTTTTTAAGAAATATTCTTAATGAAATATTAATATTTTAATATTTACAAATTAAATTTCACAGATTTATAAGTCAAATTGCTTAATAACTATTTTTTAAAAATTAAAAGCCTTAATATTTATAAGTCAATCTTTGAGATTTTCAAGTTAATCTCATAGATTTGCAAATAAATTTGTATAAGTTCTGTAATTATTCTTCAAATTTTATACATTAATTTCCCAATCATCCTATTAAATTTGCAAGTAGACTAAGTGTTATTTACCTTGTTCAGTTTTCATGGCTCAAAATAGAACATGAATCGAACCAATAAGTTTGTATGTTATAAAAATCAAAATAAATTTGATTAATAATCTGTTTTGATTGGTTCCTTTCAATTTGAGTCAGTTTGGCTTGATTCTTTTGGTTTAGCTTGGTTTTGAATACCTTAATAAGAGGTCAAAATAGTTTATTGCATCTCTAACAATACTTACAAGGTCGCAATGAATTTTACTTGTGGTTTTACAAAACATACGCAATCATGAATGTTTCAGAATTTTGTCAACTACTACATAAATAACCAAGGAGAGGGGGTCGTCACCAAATCCATCAATACTATGTAAATTCATCACAAAATTCAAATAATACATTATATTTTGGAAGAATTACTTTGAGATTTCACATAATATAATTAAATACTATAATATCCATTAACAATTGAGCAAAGGAAAATGATAACATATTGCATTGAATTTAGAAAAAATCATAACAAATATTTGGAGGCCTAAATTTTAATGAAAAACGATCCCTAAATAAGGGATAAAACTTTCAAATTGGGTCAAATTTATAATTACAGAAAATATATGGCACTAAACATAAGGGCTCAAATAATAATAAAATGGAAAGATAGCCAGTGTACCGTGCCGTTTGCCTAGACTGGAGCCGAGAGACGGAGAAAAAACTTTCATCTAAAACAAAAGAAACTTTTTAGAAAAGAAAGAGCAAGAAGTATATACCACAAGAGAGTTGACCAAACCATATCTAGAACCTTCTTCGCTTTAAAAAGTTTAAGAAATCATAAGAGACACCAGAGACAGAGTCGTGTGAAGGAGTTTTGAAACCTAAAGCAAATTATGTAAGAGATTTGATATATTACTCTCCTTCTACTCCTTATTATAGGACATGTTTTAGAAAAATTCTGTGATCCTTAATATAAGGTACATGGAGGATCATTTATTATCATTTTCTAATTTTATCTCTATTATAAATTTAATTTTATAACTCATCATATATTGTATATCTCTCTTTTTCTATTTTTAATAGGGGTAAAGTTGAAATTCTTTTTATTTTAAGATATTAAATGAGTTAATTGTCATTCCTTGATTCTAATAAAATTGTTGAAAGCAGCTAATAAGGACTGGAGAAAGTGTTATTTATATCTATCTTTATATCACTTTTTTTATGGCTCGTTATATAATACATAAGTAAGTAATAAATTCTAAATGTAAATATAAAATTAACATTAATGCTTTACAGGAAAAATAATGACAGTTATAAAGGGTATAAACTATAAAGTTAACAGATTTTGAAAACGAATAAGAAGATCAAAATCAGAGATGCACAAGAGAAAAGCCTCTACAATTTGATTTGGCATTGCGATTTATCTTGGTTTTTGTATGTGTATAATTATTGATTCCTAAGGTCCTAATACAAATTAAAAACTAGTTTTGAGATTAAAAAAAGAAGGAAATTAATATAATTCAAGATAGATTAGAAATAGGAATCATTTGACCGAAAGAAATAGATTAGGAAACTTATTCCATAATACTAATAAATCACTCTGTTTGCATATACTAGTTAAAAATTAATTTATTTAGAAGTCTTTCATGAGTTTGTGCAAATAAAAGAAGGCTTTGAGGGAAAATATAATGTTTATTTTTTCCTTAAAAAATGAAATGCAATATTTTAATTTAAGTATACTATATGCATCCATCAATATATAGATACAATCAATTTATTTATAAATTATGAATAAGTAATGCAACGTGCCTTGGTGTGAGTGTTTTGTGTGATGAGCAAGGTATTAGCCTGACAATAATTTTCTCCCAATAAGAAACCTCAACTTTGTTTCAAATACAAGCCTTTGAAAGTCAGAATTCATGATGTATTTATAGGCATGAATTGTTTAACTTGATAATCTTGTAAGTTCTAACACCCAAAAAAAAAAAATACTACTTGACGAAGATCATTTGGCCTGAAAATATCTTATAAAAATTCTTTTCTTAAATGATTTTGATTATCAGAATATTTAAATTTAAAATAATAGAAAAGAAATATAGAAATATATTTATAGTTATCTTTATTAAATTTAAAATATTTAAAAAATAACAGAGATACAATTTTAATTAAATTATCATACTGTAACCTAAAAATACTTGTTCGGCTACTAATTCAGGCTTTTTAATTTTTTTTAAAATAGAAGAGAAATATTTTTATCTAAGATCTCTCTGAAAGAAATCTACCAATTAACTTTTTTCACATTGGATAAACCCGATGAATAGGAAAACTTCTTCAAGTCAATGCTCAAGAGACAATTAAAATTACAAACTGAGTAAAAATCCATATCTAAAGATCAAATGCAAGGATAAAACAATATAAATGCAATTTTAATTAAATTATAAATGTTATAACCAAAAAAATACTTGTTCGGCCACAAATCGAGATTTTAAAATAATAGTTAAGAAACCTATTTATTGTTACTTTCTTAAATTTAATATATTTCAGAAATAATATAAACGAAATTTTAATTCAATTATAATATTATAATCTAAAAATACTTGGTTGACAACTAATCCAAGCTTTTAAATTTAAAATGAAATATGAGAAATATATTATTGTTATCTTTATTAAATTTAAAATAGGATAAAGTAGCAATTTGGCTACAAACTATTTTTCGAGGAGCATCTAGTAGCCTAAACTATCAGATGGTGCAAAATAAATCGTGAACTTTTAAAAATAGAGCATCCAGAAGCCCGTCGTTAACTTTAATTAACAGACATTATATAGGACCCACAATGACACATGGCACGATGCGACTATGACACATCAATATGATAAAGATGCAAATTTAACTATAAACTATTTTTCGAAAAACACTGGGTAGCTTAACTATAAAAAAATAGATCATCCAACACCTTTCCTTCATTTTTGACCGAATACTGTTTATTTTCATACTTATGAGATTCATGAAACATTAATCTCTCCAATCTTCTTGTTTTCATTCTCAATCTCAGCTCGAGAAGAAGAGGTTCAAAAAGTTCTTATCTAAAGATATTTATAAAAATGATGCTAACAAAGTGAAAGAAATAATTTGTAACTAAATTAAGCTAGAATCAAACTTCTCTTATGCGTAGTTAAATCAAGCTTTTATTTCATTGACATTATCTTTGTGTACGTTTTTAGATAAAAACTCAGTGAACCTCTTCTTCTGGAGCTTATATTGAGAATAAAGGCCAAAAAAATTAGAAAGATTAATGCTTTGTGGGCCTTATAAGTGTGAAAATCAATAGTATTTAGTCAAAATTGAGGGGAAAGTGTTGGATGATCCATTTTTTTATGGTATAGGCTACCCAGCGCTCCTCAAAAAATAATGCATGGCTAAGTTTGCACATTTTATCATGTTGATGTGTCATGCTCGTGTCTTGCCACGTGATATTGTGGGCCCCACATAACATCCGTCAGTTGAAGTTAACGGTGGACTACTAGATGCTCCATTTTTAAAAGTTCACGATTTACATTTAAGCTACCAGATGCTCTTTAAAAAATAGTTTGTGACCAGATTTGCTACTTTATCCTTTAAAATATTTCAAAATTAATCAAAATACAATTCAATTAAATTATAATATTATAATTTAACAGGATTCTTATGTATATTCATCTCTCTTAAGCTTCGGACTGAAGAAGATATGAGATAGGATGGTGAAAAACACCATGAAATGGGTAGTGTCATGTGAGAAATTCTTAGGTGAACTAAGTGCATCACGTCATTTATAATATGTTTAACAAAAACATAACATTTAAATAACATTAAATGTAAATTAATTTTAATATTGAAAGTAGTAGAGAGATAAAAAGTAAGAAATCAAATGTCCATTATGTTATAAGATTAAAATAAATTAAAAAATATCATATAGGATTTTTTTTAAATTACTTAAAGTATTTTAATTGAAAAGAGTACAAATGACGTAATAAATTTAATTTACTTAAGTATTTCTCAATGTTATGGACAACTGATAGATACGGAGCACATTTAGAGCTCACCTCATCATCTCTCTTATATTTTTTAAAATAAATATTTATAAAAAATTAATAAATATATTAATTATCAATATATATATATAATTCATATTTAACTAGCTCGGACTAAATTTAATATTAATTTTTCATAATTTTTATAAATTGACCATATATATCTTGTTTGGTTCAAATTCAAAATTTTTAACTTATTATACTGTTAGATTCAAAACGATCTAGAATAAATTTGTATGGTCAATTTATAAAAATTGTAAAAAAATATTAAATTTAACCAGCTTGATTAAATGTGAACTATATATTAGTAATTAATAGACATTAGCATAGTTGAGAGTGGGCAAGTATCCCCATTTAACTTGAGAAAATTTACACAGAAGAGGTGGAACTTTTAAAAATATGCTCCCATTATCCTAATAGTTTTAAACCCACTAGATCCAAATTAAAATATATTTAAGTATAAATTTTTTTTTTGATCTTTTATATTTCACTCAAGTTCAATATATTTTAAATTTTTGAGTAGATTATATT